AGCAGAGGGAGAAAGAAAGTAGGAGTGCTCGGGTTGATCATGGGTGGTTTGAGGAAGACGTTGTGGTGGTAGCTGGAGGGAAGAGAGATGGTAGGATAGAGACAGCAGTGAATTGGGGTGGTCGCAGGAGAGAAGGCGGTGAGTTCGGGTGCAGCTGTGGTGTGATGGCGAGAGAACAGAGGCGCAAGGGGCAGAAGTTGCAGCAGCAAGATGGCTGCTATTGAGAGATGAAAGATGGCGGAAGATTAGCGGAGTGGGTGAGATTAGAGAGGGAACTGCCTGCAACAGAGGATTAGCGAGAGAGCAACGGTTGATGGTGGTTAGCTGCTGGTGGTTGGGTAAAGGAGGAGCGCACGGCGATGGGAAGAGGTTGGTCGTATAGACGGCGATGGGTTGGTTTCACAGACGGCGATGGGTTGATTTCACAGACGGCGATAGGTTTTGTTTGAGCGCGTTGGGTAGAAAGGTTTGGGGAATGGTGGTCGCGCGGAACCACAGATTGTGAGAGGAAAAAAAGAACGAGAGGGTGCAAAAGGGGTGATGTGAAGGTGCATAGAAAAAGAAGAGAAAGGGCGGTGGACGATAGATTACCAGAAAAAGGAGGAGGAGGTAGAGCCGGTAGTGCACGGTAAGCAGCAGGTGGTCATATGGGGAATAAAAGAATGAGAAAAAAGATAAATTGTGGCTATGTCCGGTTAGCAGGTGGTCATACAGGATACAGGGAATAAAAGAATGAGAAAAGAGATAAATTGTGGGTCATGAGGGACCACAAGGCAGAGAGAAGAGGAGGATAGTGGTCATAGGAGACCAGAAGAGAAGGAAAGAGAGATGAAGAGATGGAGAAAAAGTGAAACACAGACGGCTCCACTATCAGTGAAAAAAGCAGCGAGAGAAAAGACAAAAAAAAAAAGAGAAGAGAAAGAGAGATTTACATTAAGTTCAAGATGATTTTGCCCCTGCTCAACAATTTATGAAATTTCAAAATAGTTTCGGTTACTGCTATAGAACGTGTGTGAATTTTTATGGATGATTCGTGGTTGCTTCAGCTCCTGTTTTGTAAAAAGATGATTATTTTCTTGTTGGTCGATCAATATGGTACTAACTTCAAGCCACGAATCGTGTTTTTAGGCCACGATCATGCGACTAGAAATTTGTACGAATTTTGGAAACTTCGAATCGATAGTGTGTTCGTTTCTTGATGTTTTTTTTTTATTTCTTTGTTAAATTGCACTGAGCATGCCGTCACGATCATGTTGCAACAAATGCAGCTAGATTTTGTGTTCAAACGAGGATTTCGCCATCTTGGGTTTTTGGTTGGATTTTGAAATCCGACTGCCGGAATTTACAGCAACTTTATCGCCTTCGCATATGAAATTTGACTGTTCATTATACGCGAGGTTGCCCAGATGTAACCTTGGACCTTACGCATACAATGGAACTGGTCTCGCGTTAATCTGTTATGCGAGTGTCGTGATTTAGCCGCTCGAGTGAGGTGCGTCGCTGCTGAATTTTCTGCAACTATCTTAACGAATCGAAAACTTTTATCTAGTTTTTCTCCCTATTCGGGTATCGTCATGGTTCGTGCTACATATCAAAACGTTCGTCTTGAAGAGACGGGTTAAACTTACTATTGTGACTTACTAGGTATTGGCGGTGTATGGCCGGGGAAAAACTTGTGACTAGAGACATCAAGGTATGTGAGCTCTTAGATAAACCGGGAATGGCATAGATGCGACTTTTTACTAGTAAAAAATTCATCAAAACTAGAATTTTCCATATTAAATTATCAAAAAAATATCCATGAATTAGATAAGTAGGAAATTACCAGTTTCGACCGCATTGGGCCCAGCAATGCACCTCACGTAACTTATCTTGTCCATGGCTTAGATTGAGCTGGGTATTCGGGGACATATTTTAGTTGGTAATTTCTATAGAACAATTGTTTCATGTAGTCTGGACCGTATTTGTGTAATATACAGTCCAGAAGTATAAAACATTCGTTTTAAAGATGAATGCAAATAGGTGGTCATCTAAAAGCAATTGTAACTACTAGTTCAAATGCTTTTTTAATATAATTATTATTTCTAGTTTTTAAATTTTTTCTTTTTTTTTTATATTCATGATCTCCATGTTAAAAATTATATATTCTCTAAAACTTAAGTTCAAATTATATTCCAAAAATATATTTATTGTCTATATCCGGATGTGGGGCCTAAAGGCCCAGCTTTTAGATTTGTTTGTTCTTTTATTTTATTTTATTTATTATTTCTCTCTCTCTTTTTATTTATTTATTTATTTTTATTTTTATTTATTTTTTAAACAAATCTCTTTTAAATATGTGCTTCCTAGTTTCTTTTGACTTCTGGTGTTCATTTTGGATTTTGCACAAACCTAAGCTGACTTGGCCAATGTTTTATGAGAAGAGAATCCTTTTGAGGCTGATTTGCTCGTTAATTGGGATTTGATGAAATCCACCTCTTCCGATTTCAAGAACTTCAGTTTTGATACGATGTTATACAGATCAGACTTTGAGTAGTCTCTTCAGTCTCGAAATCATGTGCAAACAAACAGTAGAATAACTTGGCTATAACATTGTTATGTATCCAACTTTTCTAAAAGTAATTTTTTTGTTTAGTGTTATTCTTCTTTCATTGTATGCACTTTGTAAAATTACTGGATGCTTTTTTCCCATGATAGCACCGTGAAAGTTTAGACAAATAGGTGGTACAAGGAAGATAATAAATGGACCAAGTATTGGCGTAATATTATTGCCCAATAACTTTATTGTATCCTCAAATAGAAAATATGCTAATACCCTAAGAAAATATTTTATGCAAATAATTTATGTAGAAAATCATTATGCTCATGTCTAATTTTTAGCTCCACCTGTTTCCCTTTAGCAATTTTATTAAAGTTACAATTTTCATGAAGCCATCTCTTCTTGTCACTCACGGCCTCTATCTCTATGCCCCTCTCACTACATCAACTTTTACCACAATATTACTAGACCCAATAGTAATATTAGTCTTATAGATTCTTACTTCTGGCCAAGGGGATTTTTAGGTAGCCTCAATTCTAACCCACGAGGCCTAGACTTGGTCACCTCCCCACGCCTATAACAAGCCAACTTTGGTTGGTGTATTTTTTTCATTCCAAAAAACTGTTCGATGTTAGCACCATTAAACTTCTTCTACTGCATTCAAAGAGGTTGTTCAATGGCCCCCTCTTATGTATGCAAAAATGAAACAAGAGGTTGTTTAAACATGAAGTGGTTCGATGTTAGAAACATCTGGATGTCGCTACTATTTTAAAAAACATAGATTGAGGCAATTTTATGATGCTAAAACTACGTCGTGTATGGAAAAAATAAAACAAGAGGAGGTCTATGGTCAGAGTGGCATCTGGGGCACCTCTTCCAGAGATATATAGCCAACGTAACCCCTAAGATATATATACTGCATAGATAATTCAAAAAATTATGGAATTGCATTATTTGCCTAAAACGTTGACCCTGTCACCGTAACCTTTGGGGCTGTGTTATATAGACACAGACATGAGTTTCTATTTATGATACATATACGAGCTTCAAAAACGTGAACCCCAAAATATAATTTTTAGACACGACGCATTTGTAGAATATACAAGTATCTACATATATGTGTTTGTCTATATATACGTATATATTAATATCTATGTGTCGTTCACATCTGTAACATAAATATACAATTCATGTCATACAACAATAGTAAAGCATCTAAAAATTAAAAAAATTGAATTTAGTCTAAAAAATGTTACTTTGTGAATCTGAGTTATATACATCACTTATAGACCAATACAATGTTGAACATGATAATATTGAAAAAAAGTACAAGAAATTTAAATAATATCAAAATATTAGTATAATCTTTCAAAATTAATAAAAATAAATTACTAGGACGAGACAAGGTACAATACAATTCATACTACTAATGGCAAGAAAGATTAAGGAACGCTAAAGATTTTAATATGACACAAGGGACAATAAGAAGGGAACAAATAAATGTTGAAGAAAAAGGATGAATGTTCAGTGGTCCATGGCTTGGAGAGGGTGAAACCAATGGTCCACAAGGCTTGGACAGGGAGAAAATAATGGTCTATGGCTTGGAGAAGGAGCAACCAGTTGGGAAGGGAGAAATCCTAAGGTCCTTTACTTTTAAAAGAATAATCTTCAGTGAATAATAAAGTTTATAAACAAAAAAACGTCATTTTAAATAAAAGAAACATGCTAAAAGATATATTTTTGGTACTAGAATTTTTTTTACGGCCTAAAAATTCTATTGCTACCCTAATTATAAAATTTAAAGCTGCAAAGATGGTGTCTATAAACACTTCAAAATTTTAAAAATAAATTGTCTAGATAACGTGTCACCAAATGCATTATTTTTAAGACTTGAAAAAGTTTTTTTTTACATATCCATACATCTTGATATCAAGTTGATCAATTGTTAGATTTTTAGTTGTCAGTACAACCCTTTCAGACATATTTTTGATGTGCATCTTATTTTTACAATGTAGGATTGATAGATCACAAAAAGTTTTCCAAATGAAAAAAAAAAAAAAATTAATTTGTGTGGGCTTATGAAAAGATTAGGTAGAATCCACTAGAATAGGACCTAATTCTATTGCGGGTCCCATTCCATCTATTTGGACGATCGCGATGCATTAGATTCGACGCGGCTTTTCAATGGTCGTTGGATCACACTACCTTCACCCACTACAAACCGACGGATTTTCCACGTCAGCAAGGGGGCCAAAAGGGCCGCATGTCCAACATGCACTGGAAAAGGTGTATCCCACATGGGCTCATTGCCTAAGTTTAGCATGGCCCTCCTTATCCAAGATATGAATGGGGGGAGACCTAACGCCGCATGTCCACCATGCACTTCAAATGCGCTCTCTCTCTCCAAACCTAATTTCTATTAAATGGGTGGACTCACTACACATTACATCTTAAACCAAACCATCACCCTCTTTTGCTTTGTAACCTCCACAACAAAAACTCATGGAGAGGCTCCCTCTTGCATGTGCCCTACTTCTTCTTCTGGTAACTTCTCTCTTCCTGTTCTTAAAACCTACCTTGTTACATAATCGGGTCTGTGTACCATACACAATGCGCTATCTATTATTCGGAAATGTTTTTATACTTCTCCTATCGCATAGAAGATCTATGCGTCCCCTACCATCCAGCTGTTCAATTTTGATCAAGAGAGCTACTCACCGTTTGA